GGAGATTTTAGGTAAATATTTAATAGTACGTAGAATAAGTCTCTCTAAACGCTTAGATAGCTTTTTAGGTCGTCTAGTGCGAGCGTTCTTATCTAGTTATAAATTTTATACGATATTATAAATTATTGATTTTGAAATTCTAGTAGTAGTTACGATTTCGCGGATAGATATATCCTATAAATATAGTCTATAAATAAGGCTACGCTAATATTTAGAATACTCTTTTCTAGTAGATATCTCTTAAATAAATAAAATAATAAATAAAGTATTAGTGGTTGAGAAATAATTGATTGAATTGTATATATCTATCTGTGGTAGTGGGTGCCAAGGGGCTAGTGTCCGGTGACTTTTGCGGACCTACTGTATATAACGCGGCTGAGACGTCTTATGGTACTTTTGCGTAATCTAGTATCACCAAAATTCTTACGGAGGCTGTGAGATCTAAATCTCCCTAAGGTATCACCGGAGAGGTCGGCGACTCTTACCTATCTCCAATGGATCCTATTTTATGGGCACGAAATTGATTATCTCGCGACTATTATCAGTTATAGTTAGGATTCTGGAGTCCAAGAAGCTAAACTAGTCGGGGAGTAATGATAACTAATGGACTTAAGAAGGAGAAAGTTATTACTGTTTCATACCTTTACAGATCAGCCGGTGAAAGATCTTCTTATCGATTTGCTCAAGCGGAAAGAGTATGACTAGGAGTCTACTACTCATATCAATTCTATTCGTGTGCATAACTAACATCTTATGTGGTGTAATCTATTAACGCTCTTTCGAATCTCTTATCCTGGACCCGGTGTTGAAATCTGAGATCATGAAGGATATTCAAGAGTTCACAAAAGACACTGATTTCTACCAATACCCGAGCATTCTATATCGCATAGGATATAGATTTCACGGGTAATTTTACGTTGACTACTCTTTTTCTAAGCGTTCTCTATTTAAACTAAGACAAACCTCCTGCTTGAAAGTATCTCTCCTTAGTCTCTTATCTTACTAGAAGATATTAATATGGCTAAGTCGAATCTGGTGAAGCCAGGAGGTACTGATGTTTAAAGTCTTATTACCTTCAGCGGTCTTCTGAATGCAATTGACGGACTTTCGTCGCTAGTCGGGTATATTCTGATTTGCGACTACGAATGATTTATCTAAACTTGACAAAGCTCTTGTTCGGCTCGGACGTTTAGGTAAGAAAATTGAGTTTCAACTTCCCATACTAGCGTAAGCGGAGGAGAGGTTTTGTCGATTCTATAAGTCGGAGCGCTAAACGTCGGATAGAGACATATATGAACTATCGTAGAATTTCGGACAAGTGTTGTCGGGACCTCAAGTTCAGTCAAGCCACGATGTAGTAGTATCTACTCAGACATAAAAGAAACCTCGCAGAGGCGGTTTTTCAAGTTGTAGAGCCGTGTAAGGGTCTGGCTGGGGAATGTGGAAGAAACCGATCGAGCGAAAACGAAAAAGAGAGTAGCTTCCTTTTGAAGAAGGAAGTATCCGTTATAGCTCTTTATTAGAATCTTCTTTTCCGCATATCACCTAAAGTATCTACCTTCGCAGCCTGTATCTCATCCTTTCTAGTTATTCTCGTTAGCCTATCAATTCTTATGTCTAACTTTTCCGAGGTATTGGACCTTTGGAAAAGCATTACGATATATCCCTTTCTCTAACTTCCAAAGTGGTCAAGATAGTAGCTATGAAAATAAGTTAGCTGGAAAGATAATAGTGTTATTCTAGATACCGTATAGTTTAATAATATCTTGTAGTAGTCTCTCGATTTCCCTTGTTTGATAATGAATAATGTATTCTCTCTATGCTTTCCGTACGTACATCTTCTACCTTTTTACCTTCCCCTTGGTGGACGATTACTTTCCTGATATTTCTAGAAGAAGTGCTCGGTGAAACCAATTGAGGACGAGGATTTGTTTCTGTAGATATCCTCATATTTCGAGTGGGGTTGAATAGTAAAGGCGCGAGCTTTCGACGAGAAGTTTAGAGCGGTATCAAAAATCCTAGTAGAGTTATGATACCTTTAAATATTTTAAACTAGTACTCTCAGCTGTTGCCTTTCCTTAGGCGCGGGGCGTATAGAAAGCGGATACGTTATCGCGGGATATGATTCGATATACAAAACCGGTGAGGGAGTGAGGCTTATTTATCGCCTAATTGCGCCTTTCTTCTCCTTTCTCTACAGCTACTAGACGGGATGAGACTAGATTCGCTTATAATGCTTTCTAATCTTTACGTAAATTAGCGGGACGTAGGTAGTAATATATCTTACGGCTCCCAACTAGTAGCCTAATTAGGTCAGGGCCTTTTGTCTCTACTATAAGTTGTGTAAGAAGAGGGAGACGATATATAAAGAGCGGAAGGGGGACTAGCCTCACTTAGGAGCTTGGTGTATATTCTCATACTTCTGTGCTAGAGTACCTCCTCTACCTAACATACCCTTTTCGTCGCTTAGACTATTTATCCTGCCTTGCTATCACACGGCCTTGCCTGATTGTTGATGGAGAATACGCTACTAAGGGACACCTTGGTTAGGAAAGTGATTGGTCAGGGGGAGGCTATACATCTCGACCGTATACGAGATCCTCTCCGCGATCACTGACTCTAGTATCTTACCCAGTGTCGCGAGAAGCGAGATTGTCCCTTCCCCGGGGTTTTTAGCGGTATTATCTTCGTATACTTCCGCGGTCTGGTATGGCCCCTTCTTCGAATAATATGCGGAATATCGCCAGTACGTGGTGTTTAGCGGATACCCACACCTACTTCTAGATTTCCGCCAGTAGGCTAAGTGCCTTCCATGACCTTGCGGTAAATAGCTGTCGTTCCACTTCTTCCATAATGACAGTATACATCGGTATAAGGGCTCTCTATGGTCTGGCGCCTTCGTCTTCGATATCTTCTGGCCAGCTACGGGACTCTCCCAAGCGCGGTTTCGTCGCCCGGTTTTAGATACTTCGCGGCCCTTCCAGATAGGACTCCTAGCGACGTGTCTGACTTAATTCTGCTACCTTATAGAAGACTAGGCTTGAAAATAGTTATTAATGATACGCTGGCGAGGCTTACTAAAAGTAACTACGATTAAGTCACTTTTGAAGATCAAACACCGAAGGAAGTCCCTATATGTATGGGAGTAGAGTGCCAGTATAGAAGGGAATTGTCAGACAAATCTTATTCTCCTATAACATCCGGTCTACAGTCAGATATTGATTTCGTTTCCCATCTTTTCGTATATCTATTTTTGTTTTTGCGTGAATATTTCTTTCTACAAAGTTCGCAATCGATTGTTGGTCCCGTCGGTGGCCCTCGCTTTTTGATTCCGTATGCCCTCCGCTTGTGGTCGTTGATGAAATTAGGTCTATAGAGCTTTCCGCAGATATCGCACTCCACACGATAATCAAGAGGCTCGTTATTGCCTAGGCTTGTTTGAGACCGCTAGTCGTTGTTTGGCGCTATTCGAGATTCCAGATCCGAAAGATGTTTCTCCTTAACGTGTTTAAGAAACGCTTGATAGTAATTACCGCAGATCGGACACATCTTGAAGTTATGACTTAAGATAAGATAATCGTTCATTCTGACTCCGGGATAAAGCACTCCATAATACGAATATCTTTCAGGGTTATGACTCTCTTGTGTATAGACTTCAAGCACATCATCGGTGCCCATAAAATCGCAGAAGTCGCAGTATCGATAGTTGTGTTTCTCTATTAGATGCAAAGGAAGGTCATCTTCTGATTTCCACTTGTCGCAAAGTTAGCACTGAACTGTTTTGTTATGCAAGGTTCGATAATGTGCTCGCATGTTATCAACCGATTTGATAACACCGTAAAATACGCACTTCTTAAAGTCGTGCCTTTCACGAAGGTGTCTAGATAGATTTTCCTGTAAAACTATGGTTTTACAAATATAACACTCCTGGGACGGATGTAGATTCGCGTGATTCTCCATCTCCTCAGGGGTGCACATATGATCATAATGCTCATATTAAATGCATGAATGATCACGTAAGAGATGAGTAGTAAGTATATCTACGGCGATTTCCCTTAGACAATATCGGCAACGCTTTGTCTGATAGTCTCGTTGAATATAGATAAGGAATTGTTTATCAGATAGTCTCTCAGCCGTCGGGCATTTAGCATAAAGAGTGATTAGATACTCCGATAGGTGGTACCATAGTTTCTTGTTAGATATTATCGTTCCGCAGCACGGGAATTCCGTAAATTTATACCGAATGAAGTGCGGTTCCTTCAACCCACTATCAATGACACATCCCTTATATGGCATAAAGAGATGTTTATCAAGGAGATGGTCCAAAATAGATGAGACGGCTTTCTCGCAGACTGGGTATCTTAAGTGTATAGAGTTAATGTGAGAGCGCAGTATGTCCTTCGCATAGTTTGTCAAACATTTCGGATACTGGTGTTCGTTCTCAACGTGGCTACGTATATCGTCTCTGGCGACGAAGTCTGTGCAAAAGTCATATTTTAGATTTTTATGTTGGCGACGTTGATAGCTTTCGAAATCTTCTAGGATATCATAATTGCATATTGAACAGAACCCGCCACCGTGCTCTTGAAGGTACACGTGGCTATAACCCTTCCGAGTGATTATCCAGTATATAGCACACTGCTAGAAGAGTTCCTTATGAGGGTCCAGTGTGGGGGTAAGTTGTTTATGGGAAGCCTTTAAATTCCTCAAGCGCCGATTTGCAGTCATCCTGGAGCCGAGTTCTGGCCTCGTTGAGTTGATCTAAGGTTGGCTATTTGTTCTTTTCTGATGCTGGGCGTTTGTCGGGGTGGCAGAATAAGGCAGCTTGCTTAAAAGCCTTCTTAATATCTTCATATATATACAGCTTTGGTTTAAGATGAAGAGCGGCAAATGGACTAGAATACATAGTTGAGTTTGAGGAGGTCTGTTAAGGAGGACGGGTGAGGAGGTTTCCGCAATTACTATAGCGCTTGAATATTGAGATATTGGGTAAACTAGCGTTAAACTAGTCTTAATTGGGATAAGCTTAAGAATCACCCGACCTCCTCACCCGACTTCTCACCCGACTCCTCACCCGACTCCTCACCCGACTCCTCACCCGACTCCTCACCCGACCTCCTCACCCGACTCCTCACCCGCTCCTCAACCGAAGATGCATAGGGATCCAGAAGCCTTGATGCAGCTACCATGCCGATTTCTCTAGTATACCAGAGCGGACACAGTCACGAGCTATACAATAGCTCAATTCTCGGTAACAAAGGTCTCTTTATATTTACAATTGATTGTACACTCAGCCTCCCGGATCCCGAGCTTTCTCGATTCTCCAATTGAGGCACGCCGCTTAAATTGATTACTAACTGTAAGGAAACACAGTCACAAATGTTCCAAATTCCCACCCGGACGCCATAGAGCAAATTAAACTATTAGAGGCTTTTTTATGCCCCCTTTGGTGCTGGATATACAACGGTCATATTGTCAGTGGATGATAATGACCTCCTAGGCGAAATTCTTTATCAAGCTTGCATTTGAAGTGAAACTTCCACTGAACCTTTATCGTCCTAAACTAGTCTTCCGTAGGGCTTCTAAGTATATACGATGACTCTCCTGGAATGTTAAAAGGTGTCAAAAGGCGAGTAATTGTAGATGAGCACTTACACTGTCCAGTATGTATGTATATCCGTATCTCTGATGTCCTTTTTGACTCCTTCCAGCTGTTTCTTCACGTCTAATATTAGTCGCCGGAAATAGTTTGTGAATAGACGTAAGGATAATCCTTCGAGCCCGTCGAGAGTATTGACATAGTTATACTCCCCCAGTTTTTTGAGGGCCTTATTCCTAGGCTATAAGTTTTGGGGTATCTTTCGTATAATCTCCTTAATATAAATGAAGCCTTTTGAGCGCAGTCTTCGGTTGTACCGTTCAGCGATATATAGGTCGCGCCCTACTTCCTCTAACGCCCTATAGTAATTGTCAATCCACGCGCGGTAGGGGCCGGCCGCGGGAATAGATTTATCATCGGACTTTAGTAGTAAGATATCCTGGATTTCGAACCAGCCATCGGAAGCTAGATTCTCCTATATATTTTGAAAGAGTTAGCCCGGGGAAGTGATTAAGGTCCCTATTATTCTGGCGTGAATGTAGTCAAATCGGCGGATGAAAGACTACCGATCCTCGAAATTGTGAACTTGAAAGGTGTAGTTCGGAGGGACTTCGCCTAGCTGAATCGGACTTATATCAGTTCCTAGAACTCTTGATTCCGGATGCTCGTCCGTATATTCCACTGCCTATATGCCCGTGCCGGTACTAATATCGAGGACTTCCTAAGGACACTGGATAGGTGCGAGGTGTAGTCTTCCCCCAAGTAGGATTTTGAACATTTTATGTTCCAAGTCTAGTCTCGCCTACTCTAACTTATCGTTAGGATATAGATAGATCCTCTCGTCGAAGGCGTAGTACCTTCGGCCGTACTCGTAAGGAAACGTTATTATACTTTTAGGTAGTGAACAAGTATTAGAGTCGTCGATATCGTCGCTAATAGTCGAATCTCTATCGTCATCTAGTATAGTTTGATTCTATAATGCTATACTCCTCGAATAGAAAATTCCCGCACCTGTGCGCCCGGTTTATTGGAGAGAGGGAAAAGTCCTGACCGACCCCGGTAGGATTCGAAGAACGCAGCTAAGATTCAGGGAGGATAGAGGTGAGGAGAGGTGAGGAGGAATCTGTAGGGAACTACTATATACCTATAGTTAGTACTAAAATAGTCCTAGCCTCTAGTCATATCCTCGTAAGGTAAATTAGATTTAGACCACATTCTCGGCTAGTAAAACTAGTTTGAACCAGTTTCTCTTCTAGAAAGCTAGCCTTTAACCACTTTCTCTTCTGAAAACTTAGTCTTTAACCACCTTTTCTCCTTATATCCGGGTGAACTCTAACATCTTTTCAATAGCTTTTAGCTAATCCGTTTCCTTTCTGTGACTTACTTAGAGGCTATACTTATCGTATGTCGATCTAGTTAAGACTTAAGTCGGGGGATCCTTTCCTCGATATTAAGGATGTCTATTAAACCCAACCCGATAACGCCCTTAATTATCTCCTCTCTACCCTTCTCGAGTTATCACTCACCGAGGAATACCTTCAGCGCATTTAGCTGGGGGAGGCTTTTCGCCGCTCTCTTTAAGCTAACCGACGAAAAGCACTATATCGCCTCTATTCTGCTGTCTCCGTCTGCAAGTAAGGGCTAATTTAAGAGGCTTCGCTAGAAGTAATATTTTTCCGGTATGGAGGAGTTCCCGCTATAACGGCCCTCGCGGCGGTAGGTATAGACGATATTGACATTTATAATCAGCTGAAGCGTCTTGGAGAGAAAGAGTTATAGTCCTTCTTGGTATCGATTGAAAAGATTAAGTGGAGTAAAGACTTGAGATATATAGCTGAGACGATAGACAGGAAACGCCCGTTAATATCGGTAAAGAAAATAAGCCTCGCCCGGTCCCGGCTTTCGCGGCCCACGAAGAAGGATAATACGGATAAACGAATAAACTATAAAACGTCGTAAACCCTCTCCCGTCGAGTATGACAGCCTAGACTAGATACCGTAGAGCGATATAATATTACAACTTAAGACTATATAACTTCCTTAGACAAATGTTTATCCCCTCTGGGTATTTCGGAGGTTACGTAAGATACTTCATCGTAAGGATATCTTTCTGGAGAAGTACTCATAGCTAAGTTACTCGGTATATATAATCCTATCCGTGGAAAACAAAAAGCTAACTAGCGGGAGATAACTATAGGATTGACTTTAATAGTGTCGAGAGCGCGGCATATCCCCCTGGCCTAACCGGGTTTGAGCACTATATAATCGATAGACTAGCGCTTTCTGAAAATGGCGATTAATAGGACGGTTTCTCCGGGACTAACGTGGATCCTAGTAGGCTATATAATATTTAACCGTTTCCCGCTGTTCAAAACTACACTATCCAAAGTCGGAGACGACCCCTTAGTATAATATAAGACTAGGATTTCTCCTGGGAAGGTTTCGAGTCTCGTCGGTTCGAGCAAGGTGTCGTAGGGACCGTAGTAACGAAGTAGGAAGGCGGCTTTGCCGGTGGTCTAGAGATAGTAATCAGCGGCTATACGCATACGACGGACAAGTGGAGGATACCGCTACACTCATCGCGTTAATTACTGGTTTGATACGCTGGATTCGGTCTGGGTGACTATATTGTGCGACTTCGGCGCTGCCTTAGTATGAGCGTCATAGCCCATTTTCCATGAGCTATCTTGCCAGGATATCTGCCTGGTCGAGAACTTCCTTGCTAGGGACGTTAGTACTCATAAGATTGGATGCTGTGCGGCGTTGCGGTGCAGTTTTGAGGTCCGTGGAGACAGGGTTATGTCTTGCGCGTTCCCCCGTTGAATGGCCGAGGCTCGCGTGGACGGGGAAGGGGTCAAATAGATATCACGTGCCTAATTAATCCCGTCTGTGCGTTTTGGGCTTTGGTGGATGATTGGCTCTGCACATTTACCTACTGCCAAGACTAATGCTAAGCCCAGGTGGTGCCATCCGGACGGAAGGGGAGATAACCCGGCGGGTTCTAAAAGAGCAAGTAGAGTAGCGAAGAAACCCAGGGAGCACCGACGTTTACTATAGAGTCCAGACGCGGTTGACTTATATTGAAATCTGACAATACCTCGAGCCCCCCGCCACTATAATATAGGAAAACATACTGAATATACGATAAATAAGCAAAAGTGTATACGGCTATTATAGACTTCGTTAAAAAACACTAAATATAGTACCACCCTGGCAGTAAGACTTTTATATATCAACCCTCAAACTCATATTCCGGTTAAGCACTACGCAATCTACGGCGGTAGTTCCTTATTTGACATTCATTGTCAGAAATAGTGCCTCAATTCCGTACTATAGGCAAAAAGACAAAGAATCTTATCAATTGTTGATAGATTCTAAGCACTATAGTAGATAAGGATAACACTTTGTCATTCATGATATTCATTACTGTACCTTAGCATTAATTGACTCTTATTACCAATCCAGATACTATCTGTATACTCCCACTAAAAACCCCCAGTATATTATTAGTATACGTCAGCTAAGAAGTCAAGTCTTCCAAATCGGAATCGAATCACTATATCCACGGTGCTATTGTTTCGTCTTATATCCTCATTATCCGGTACTATAACTACGTAAAGTTTAGGATCCTCGCCTTTATAATGATAAAGGTATACTGAATATATTGGCTCCCTCCCCTTCTGTTGACACCGGCATACTATCTCTTATACCGCGAAAACACCTTGATTAACTTTGCTTCCCCTATTGGATAGTATAAGGTGAAACTCTAGCTAATATAACTCGGGAGAGCGGAAAAGACTATAAATTAAGTATAATTAGAAGTTTAGATACTAAATAGTATACCGGAGGAATATTCTCTTTTTTAGGTGGATATATTTAGAATATAGGCTATATATAGAACTTGGTCCTTTCTCATTGCATTATAAAATAGCTTCTAACACGTCGACTCTCTCATCGTTAACTATTGTGATCTCGTTAACTAAGCAATATGAAAATTTGTTCTTACCTAGGTGTTATCTATACACTTACCACACTTATTCTCTCCCTTCTCTGTCTCTTTGCCCGCTCGAACAAAAGTTTCCTTCATAATGCTGAGCTGATGACGGTAGGAACAAAACCCTAAAAGATATTACCTCTATAAGTTAACATTACTAGCTGAATATCTCACATATTGGGCCGATGGCGACTGCCTCGAAGAGCGAAGTAAGTTAGAATTCCTTTGACTAGCTGGCTGATAGAATACAGGAAGATATTGCGAGTGGCCTGAATAACGTAACTTCACAAATTACAAAAGCACTCGGCTTGCCAGACTTCTTCACGATATACCCTAGAGACTATTGCAAAGGCACTTATAGTCAGAATAGGAACGGATTATATCCCAGCCCGACAGTCACTAGCTGCTCGAATCATACAGCACTACTAAACTTTAACGTGAGCGAGATAGTTAGAAGTAATCTTACTAAAGGTATAACGCTAGAAGACCTCCACTAGCCCCCTACCATTACTGTTGTAGAGAGTGGTCTTAAATCTTATGCTAGAGCTCTTAGCGTTTTCTATATGTTAAGTATCGCTACTGTAGTCCTCGGTATC